CAAGCTGGAATCCCTGAGGAAAGTTTTGATATACATCTTACATGTAAATGTTTTACTTTTCACCTTGGGTGCGGTATTAAGAGGCTTTTCACCACCTGCGTCTACTGCTAGTCTTCAGAGGTACCAAGTGTATTCACTATTTCATAGCAATCTAGTTCAATACAATTGTCACTGCGCTGCAACAGAAACTCCAGGATGTATTCCAGAGCAGGGTTCCTCAACCTTGGCGACTTCAAGATGGGTGGACTTCAACCCCCAGAATTCCCTAGCCAGCCATGCTGGGGAACCATGCTGGCTGGGGAATTCTGGGAGTTGAAGTCCACCCATCTTGAAGTCGCCAAGGTTGAGGAACCCTGTTCTAGAGGATACGTTACTTCATGCAAAGTAAAAGCCAAGCCTTGTAGGCTCACTACCATCCCACGTAAACTGATCCTCAAAACATCCAACTGCTATGAAGTCATTAGTATTGTACAGCTGGCTATCTTAATGATTTTGTCATAAAGAAATCCTTAATAAGTTTCCATGGAACCACCAAATTCTCTAGAACGGAGCTTAAGAGACATCACTCTTACCAAGATTAATTTACCTGCCATATTCCAGAAGCGTAGCATGAACTTTGGACTCCTCATCTAATAGCTTTTCTGCTCCTACTCGTCTTTGATATTTCCTCTGCGGCTTGTAAACCTCCTAGAATACAATAAATACCCATCACACGATTCCCTTTTGGAGTAAACAGAATTATGCAAAGCACAGAAAGGGAGTAAGAAATAGTAAGCCAAAGAAATTAAGGCATGAAGCAAGAAAAGGAAATAGAGCTAAATTTCAGTAATTTATAACATCAACACCATTCGCTCTACTTCTCCGTACTTTTTGTCCTTGCAAACTATCCTCATGTTCACCACATTGATATACCATTTCATGTACCCCTTTTTGTTTTTTTCTTGTCATTCTTTTTGAGGATCTCATTAATTCCAGGCCAGCCACAGTTTTCTCAGTCTTCCCCTTGACCTATTTCCTCTCTCTTCATATATTTGTTATGTGATTTGAACTCAATTCATTCCCTCTATATGGCTAAACTACATCAATATATTTCTTTCATACTGAATACATTTTTGTATTCAATCCATATTTATTCAGCACCCATTCATTTCTGACCCTCTCTCTTCATGTTTTATCATACGCACTTACCATTTCATATTTCTCCTGACACACTTAACTGTCACTTCTATAGAGCAATGTGGCCAGAAGCACACTCTTCTAAACAGCTGTTTTGGCTTATTTCAACAAATAATCATTCCTTGAAATAGACTACATACTATCCAATATTCTTCCACCAGCATTTGCATGTCTTAAAAGTTTCTCTATCCATTTTCTCATCTTCAGAAAACATTCTATGAAAATTTACAAATGCAAATGCTTTTTATTTTTTGCCATTTATGTATAACTTGACAACCATTCATTTTTCCGGGCACAACTGCCTTGGTCTTTGATACATTAATATTCAGATCCATACTCATCGATGCATCATATAAGTTAACATTTGTTGCAGATCATTTGGGTTCTCAGCCAACAAAATGGCATCACCTGCATACAAAAGTGTATGTACATTCCTGTCCTCAGCCAACATACCTCTACTGTGACCACAAGCATTCCTTATACATTTATCCTTAAATACATTAAATAACCAGGGAGATATGCTTATTAATCCTTGCTAAATGTGAGACAATTTCCTAAGCATTCTATTTATTTTCATGTATGTTTCACATCCATTATATATTGCTGTTATCTCATTCAGCAATCAATCTTCAACCTCATTCAGCAACCAATGCTTCTTGTGCAAAACATTCTATAATTAAAGTCTATTCATTTTATTATACACTTTCTCCATATCAGCAAAGGTACAATAAACGTTCTTTTTCATATTGACACAGTCTTCAATGACCTGCTGAAGAACAAGAAGTGAAATGACCATCATGTTTTAGAGTTTAAACGATCAATAATTATGCAAAGCCATCTAATCTCAACAATTTTTCATCATAGAAACCTTTCTTTCTTTTTTTATGGTTCATTATAGTAATTCCCAAGATTGCCTAACAGATTTGGATGAGATTCCTTAAACATTATAAACACCGAAGCTGGTAAATCTATTTTAGTATTATATAATTGGCTAGTGTCAATGAATTCCATATCACTCAAATTGTTTGGTTATGCCATCTCTTGCAGGTTGTTTTTTTTTAATTAACACACACACAGGCGCACAAATACCAACTTTAAAATCTACAACTTCCCTGAAAATAATAAGAGAAATGCTGGTCTTTTAAAAAAGAAATACCTTACATACTTAAATAAGACTTAATTTTGAATCACTGAAGATAAATGATCATTAATTCTACTTCTAGTCATGAATAATTATTCTTAATTACCAGACACTTTATTATGGCTGCTGTAGCTAGTTATATATAAGGATCATTTTGGCATAATTAAGATGGAAAATGAAAAGCATGCATTTCATCTATAATAAACTATTAAAAGCTATAAAGAAGGCAATGCACTTAAATTTAAGGTAAAACAAGTGAACTGAACAAAGAATGACCATTGTGTGACCCTGCAAATAATCCATTTAGATTCAGATTAAAGTAAAAAGCCTCAACTGTGACTCTATTCCTAGGAAATATTTAAGATACTTCTGAAAATTCTTTCTTGTCACTAATGTGTAACAAGAACAGGCTTTCTATGTGAAAATCTTATATATGAATAAGCAAACCTCACCTCACCTCCTCCATCTACATGGCTTTGCTAAATCAAATAGAAGAAGAAATGTCAACAAAACTAATAAAAGTCTTCCTTGAATCGAGTTCCATTCCTAGTAAGTACACGAAGATATCTATGAAATTTTGCTGGCAAAGCCATGTACTGTACATTTTTGTGTGCTAATTTGGTTCTTGGAATTATTGTAAGAAGGGAAACTTTTATACTTCACATTTCTCCATAAATTCTGACTAAAATATGGTGTCTGAGCTATCTAGCCCATTTTTATTACACATTTATTCAGGATTCCAGTATCTTTTTAGCCATCTACTGTTTATTTCACTGGATGCAAGGCTGCCATGAAAATATGATAGGGATCAGCATTAGTTTGAAATAATTGGTAAATATAACAGGCTATCATAGGAATCGCAGGGAGGGAGCAAAGAAGGAAGGAAGAGAAATATGCAACAAAAAAAGTTATATAAGCAAATTCAAGTGGATTCTCAAAACGTGCCCTTCAATGAAGCCCATTCTTGTTTAGTGCTACATTTTTCTTAAAAAAGGGAGAAAACAAAAGAAATGCCTTTCTAGGGAGATCTGCTTTAGAATAGCAGTGTCTGGATTCTCTTTGATGTCCTCACACCCTTTGTTCTGACACAGTGACAAAGGCAGTTTACTTTCTCTTAGGTACAATGACAAATAAGATCACTGTTTCCACAACTTGAGTTCTCTCCTCCGTTGACTCTGCCAGAGGAAGATACGCTAAGAGCTTTTTACCCTCTCTCTCTGATGCTTTGATCAATGTTGGCAGATACACAAGTGGGTAAATCTCTTTTAAACCACAGTACATCAGCTGAAATGCAGTGTAAGCCATACAAATTATGCATCTTTAAATTCACATTTATGTGGTATTTGAAACTGACACCACTTCCTTCAAGGACAAAAGGAAAACCCAAATGTATTGCTAATATTCAAAACTTACACTGGGATTTCAATATACCATGATTCTATATGCCACATAAAATTAATCCAACATTAACCTAGTAATGCTATCTGAAAAATAAAAGAGAACTCTCTTTTATTTTTATCGTCCCCGAGAACTCTCCGTATAAAGAAAAGCAATAAATTTGTAACACAAATTTGATAGCTGTATGCTGTAAAATACATGGATGGCTGAAGCTGGGACGCTATCTGCTAGGAATCCTACATCCCATCCTGTGTTGTGGCCCATGCTCAACCACAATAAACCACACTATGATTCACAATACACAAATCCAGTCAAATCCTCTGTAACTGTTAATGACACGGGAAAGAACATTTCTGTCATTATATTCTTTGCAAGGGGGGAAATCAATTTGTAACAAAATATAACATTAATAAGAAATATAATGTATGGATATCAGTACTGTAGTTATAATTCATCTGAAAAGGTTTCCTAAGTAAAAAGAAAAAAAAAATTATATACAGGGTCTATCTGTTTGAAAAAAGAAGAGAAAATAAAATAAAAAGATGGCACATTTAAATCAAACATTTGTAAAAAGAAGAGAAAATAAAATAAGATGGCACATTTAAATCAAACATTAAATTCTGAAAATTTTTGAAAAATCTTCCAAGTAAAGTGCACTGCAGTTTACACTTACACTGATCTCATTAACAGCTTTTATAGCCTTCTCTTTTCGTTGCATGAAATCATCATCCTGCAAGGCAATTAAGATAACTTTAAACAATAGCAGCACACTTTCAATTTCTACAGGGCTAGCAAAGATTGGAACCCCGTTGTATCTTAACTGTGATGCTCAAATACACAAAAATAGAAGCTATGTCATTTTGGTACTGTCACACTGAGAATACAATTGCATAAGTACTTATCTGGGTCATTAAATTCATTAGGACTTAGTTCTAAATAGCCACAGATACAACGGTGCCATTTATGCTTACATCCTATACTATATAATATACTACCCTATAACTTTAGGAAAGATACTTGTCCCATCAAAAGCAAAGGCTTTGGACTTTAGTTATCACATAGGAGGCAGAAAAAGATGCTTAGCAGCTTGCAAATAATAGACCCAGTTAACACAAGAAGATATACCTGTTCTGGCATTAAATGTTTCAATGATAGTTCAATGTCTTAATGATCCCTTCTAAAAACAAAGGTTTTAAGTCTGAAGCACCTTGTTCCAGCAGGCGAGTATGATGTGAATATTGAAAACCAAAGAGTTTTTAATGACAATGTGCAAAAGTTTTTGAATTCAAACTGTTCTGAATTAAAAATGTCTCGTTTCAGGTTTAGAGATCAGTTTGGAATGTTGCTGTTGCACCAGCCTCTCTACTGCATAGCAAACTCACTGCCTGAGTTCCTTGACTCCATCTCTGGGTTGATGGTGGAGTTCCCTAGACTTCAATTTGCCTTCCCTGAGAGTGGGGTCTGAGGCGGCTCAGGTGTTCATGGCGACCATGACGGCCATGGGCCTATCCCAGGTCATCCAGAGCCTGACACAGGACAGCAGTCACACACCAGACCTGGTGTTCCTGTCGGAGCAGTGGCTATGTGATCAGAAATTGGGGGGCTTTTGGTGTCCCTCGTCATGATCAGATCACACCCTGATTACCATGTCATTCTCTGGTGCTGCCATCCACTGCAGGGAGACTGGATCCATTAAATTGGTCCGCCCCCGGCAACTGATGGACACTGATGGGTTTCAGAGGGAGCTGGGGGTTGTTCCTGCTGGTCTGCTGCCCAGTCCATCTGAAGCCTTGATCACTGCTTGGAATAAGAGGGCGGCTGAGGCCTTGGATCGGACTGTGCCTATGCGACCTCTCCCCTCTCGTGGATCTCAGCACTCCCTGTGGTTTACAGAGGAGCTAAGGGAATTGAAACGAGAGAAGTCTAGTGTGTCACTGATGTTCTACAGGGGACAAACATGACCGGACAGGGGTTAGAGCTGCTATTAAGGCCTATATTGTGGCAGTAAGGCAGCAGTAAGGCAGTAAGGGACGCGGTGGCGCAGCGGCTTAATGACGCGAAAGTTGCCGGCCAGAAATGGCTGGCGCTTTGGCGGGTTGTGTTCAGCCCTCTCGGTTAAAAAGGGGGGGTTCCTTTTTTTCCCCCCCCCTCCCTTCAAACCAAAAAA